ATCTTATTATACTCACTTTGTGCATGATGCTAAACAAATGATTTGCTACCTGATTACTTTTACATATGCATTTCTGCCCTCATTGTCTATCTTAGGTTGTGTGTTTTCTGAAGAGAACTCTGGAAGTCTCATCTTGACTTATAGTTGTTACTTTTTAAGTAGTTACATGTAATTGATCAGCATGTGTTTTGTAGGTGGAAACAGCTGAGGGATCTGAGCCATTGTTATCATTACTTGCGCCGCTTGGCATGGGTGAACATCATGGTTATTGGAGAGCACCCCCGAGTATGTCCACTGTTGAATTTTCAGTTGTTCTTGGAAGTCTATCAGATATTTCAGGGGTTGCCTTGGTTATTAGCTCTTGTGGTTACACAACATCTGACTGTCCTACAGTAAGATCTAACTGCTTTTCTTTTGCATACAAGACCTTTTAGAACTATTTACCATATCTGGATGACATTTATGGGTATATTCCCTGGTATTTTTGCTTATGACTTACCTGATACCTCCTAACATCATTACATAATGTTTACAGCATAGTATATTTCATATCAATTAAACACTTGGCATGGATTGATTTGAATGGGATTCCAATAAAATGCAATTGCCACTATTTGGAACACACTGATTCACTTCTTCAGGTTTATTAAATCCTAAGTTATTTAATCACAAGAGTCTCAAAAAAATTGAATTAGTGTTTTTTAACCATTTGAACTTATTTTTAAATAAACCTAGTATTTTATTCTATGTTACACTACAAAAAAGTCTATCAGAAGCTAAACTTTGTTTGGTTGAACTGTAAAACATCAACTTGTATAGACCAATGGTTAAGACTTGAAAGAGCACCATCAACTTCCTCATCTGTTAGTCTATGGACACGACAAATATCCATTATCCTATTACATTAACTGAGAGGATGATGTGTGTGGTCAGGGAGAAACATGTAGAAGTGGTGTGAGAAGCTAATAGGGTTATTGACAGATTGCAAATTGCATATATTTTGGCAATTTCCATGTGGAAATATGGTAACTTGATGGTTAATATTAGGCAGAATATTGTAAGAAGATGATAAATGAACTATTTTTGATGTTCTGATCTATTATACATGTTATGCTCTTCTGTAGAAATTCATATGCAAATAACTATTTCTGGTTAGGTGAAAAGATTTTGCCACCACTTGGGCAATTTTTGTCCTGTTCTCATGTAAAATCATTGTTAGGAATTGTAAGTATATGTCACACAAAAATGCTTCTTGTTTATGGTTAATTTTATTTGTAAAAAGGACAAGGTATGACTGTTAGCTACTAAATTAAAGTACAATACCATGTTTGACTGGTACCATGATGTAACTTTGAGTATGGTTTTTGAACATCCTTGTAAAAGAAGCTTCAGAGGGAGAGTAACTAACCTTTTTAGACTTTAATGAGTTTTATCTTTCTTTTTTTGCTTTAGGTTTTCATTTCTACAAAACTGGTAATTATAAAATATTATGCTTCGTGAGTCAAGTATCACACTTTGGTATCTATTATGATGACCCTTTTTCTTAATTACAGTTTGTAATCATTTACTAAAATATGTTTTATCTTTATTGTTCTTAGAGATAAAGATGACTGTAATGTGAAATCTTGCTTTTCTGGTGATAATAAAAGTCACATATTAGAGTGATAAATTAGAAAAGAATTCAAATGATAACTACCATTATAGGAAATGTGGTATTTAATATATTTTTACGTGTTTGCATATGTCAATAGTGGTTGTATTGGTCATTTAGTCAATTAAAGACAAGACTATGCTTGAGTTCATGAAAATTGATTTGTTTTTACTTTTTACTATTATATGGATCTTGTTTTGTGCAGTATTGAAGTATGGCTCGAACCACGTCTCGAAGCAGTCTTGTGCAGTTCACCCATTCTCTTTTTTATATATATTTTGTTCCTTTTTCTTGAAGGAATTTCTGTTTCATATTTTATTCGTCCTTGCATATTTACCTTCTTTTTGTTAAATATTTCACTAACAAGTTCGGTGAACCTCCAGATTCAGATTTGGGCAAGCAATACAATACACACAGATAAGCGCTCTTCAATGGGAATATGGGATTTAAAATCACTAATATCATCATCTCCACAACTTTATGGTCCTGAAAAGCTTAGTAGTGAGAAGGAGATCCCAAGACATGTGAAATTTGAGTTTCGCAATCCTGTTCGGTGCCGTATTGTCTGGATAAAATTGACTCTCCCACAAAGTGAGTCCAGCTCTGTTAACACTGAAGAAGAGTACAATCTTTTTTCGTTTGATGAAAATTTCACTTACAAGCCGAAACTCCCAGCTTCTGATGGTATTGTCAATAATAATCGATGCATACATGCAAAGAGGGTTATAGTCTTTGGAAAGTCTTTGAAAAAGGAGGTGGATCAGGATGCATCTTTACAGGTCCCTGAGATGATGAAAATTAAAAGTTTCTTAGAGAGATCTCCACAACTGAGTCGGTTTAGAGTATGCTCCTTGTTCCTTTTTTGACTGATAAAAGTAGATTAGTACTTCATAGCTCAACAATTGCTAAATACATTGCTGATTATAGCTCCTTTTATCTCTGTAGGTGCCTATTGAAGCTGAAAGGTTAAAAGATAATGACCTTGCGCTTGAGCAATTTCTGTCACCAAGTGTCCCTGTATTAGCTGGTTTCCGGATTGATGCTTTTAATGTCATAAGACCACGAACCACCCATTCACCTTTTCCTAAGTTGGATATTTGGGATTGCTCAACTTTTATGGAGGACAGGTACATACTGCCAGCAGTACTATACATCCAGGTGTCTGTTGTTCAGGTAATCACTGTATCTTGTAGTAAGCACTTTTTGTCAAATTTTGTAGCTAAGTTCTTGTTTCTGGTGTTTTCTTAAGTTGTCAGCTATTTTAACTCTCTCTGATATAGTTTATCAATGAAGACTGCCTCTGTTATCTGTTTTCTTGTCTTTGGTTGCTAAATTGAATTTACTTGGCCTTCTATTCGGTGTATAGCAAGCATGATTAGTACTCTCTTGTTTATTGTCTCTTTGAACAAGATAGATACAGCTACCAAGTGTTACCATTGTTTATGGTTCTAGATTGGTGGGAAGGCTTTGGACCAGGATGTTGATGTCAAGACCAACTGCAATGACAGTCAGTATAGTTCAAGTCAGTCATAACGGTAGTGATATGAGAAATTCAGATGATTGCTTCAGTTAGAGTCATAACATAAGTATCTATAGAGCAAGATATTAAATTCGATGGAAAGGCAAGAAAAGAAAGAAATCTGGTAGACATTCCAAATCTCACAATTATAACCTGTCGAGTCTATCTTCCCCAGAGTTTGAAAAGCAGCTCATTTCTTCATTTAATTTCTATAGCCCAGACAACAAAATTCTTATGATGTTATGACTATTTCAGAATTGCAAAGCAGATTCAAAATAATTTGGAATTAGAATTGTGTGATAAACGTCAATATGTGCCAAATTACCACTGTCCGTCCCATGAAACCTTAAGCAATGAATCTGTCAGGCATCCTGAAGGATCAGGGTTCTTCAAGACTTGTCTGCAACTAGGAATCAGATTACATACTTAAATGATGGTTGATGTGATGATCACCACATCCTTTTGCAGTATACAACTTTTGTTCGGATTTCATTTTCAGCCCACCTACTTGAAAAACCTATGAAATTTCTGGTACAATATAAAATAGCTTTTTCTTAATATTATTATATGTTGGTATTCTGACAATGTGTTTCTCTAGAAGTTGAAAACATGGAGAATGATGTATAGAGCATCTTTTACAACTTGTTAGGTATCAATACTAAAACTCTACCACTTTCTGCAGGAATCAAGAAAGTCTGTTGTGGTGGGGGAATATCGCCTTCCGGAAGTTAAATCTGGCACAGCTCTTTACTTTGATTTTCCACGCCCGTTACAGGCTCAAGTCATCGTTTTCAAACTACTTGGAGATGTCACTGCCTTCGCCGATGATATAGCTGAACAAGACAACACAAGCCTTCGAACACTTCCATCAGCTTCAGGCTTGTCTTTATCAAATAGAATTAAGTTGTATTACTATGCAGATCCATATGAGCTCGGAAAACTAGCGAGTTTATCTGCAATTTAGTTGCATTTCATGTAGATAAGGACACCAAATGACATCCCATTTTCAAGCTAAGTTGATTTGGCTTCTTGTAGAGTGAAAAACCAATAATTACGTAAGATATACAGCTGAGGCTTTTTTTATTGCTCAACTTCTGTTCCTGCAGCACTACATCTGAGAGAATAGTGCCTGCAGTTTGGATCTTTTAAGGTAGCAAGAGCAGAGCACGCAGCTGCAATAAGCTTACCAAATAGCAAGATTTAAGCATGTTCATCCAAACATGCTTCCTTCACAAATATCATATCATTTTGTCTTGTAAGGTACGACAACCAAGTTTATGATTCGGTGCAGTTGACATTATACTTTTGACACATGACTTGAGGGAAATAATGTAGAATCAGCTGAACTTTAATCTCAATATTTCCCACAAGAATAAAATACTAGAAGATACACTTACTTGAAGCTTCATCCCATAAATTCTTAAAGATATTAGCTAGTAACTGGTAAATACTTTGGTTTGGGATCAAATCTAGTTTTTATGATGCATATACTTCCTTCGTAATAAAAGAAAATGACATATTTAATTCATAAGTGGATATTATGAATGGTTGCGTGGCAAGTAATAAAGCTATCAATCCTCTTTTGAGGATCCGAGGAGAATAATACTTTTGGTGTCTCCTTTTACCACCGGACTCTTCGATGCGATTGGTGTTTCGGATCGGATATGTAATCCATCTCTGTATGATAACAAAAATATATCACATAAATTTATTATAAATGATATTTCAAGTGAATATATATAATATGAAGGCGTGAAGAATGGTAGCTTGATGTTGTTTTTGGGAACCGCTGCGTCCAACCCACTGTAAACTAAAACGGTGATCGCCCCGCCACTTGTTTCTCTCTTTTTCCGGTCGAAGGTTTCCACCCGCGGCAATTCAATTCTACGAACACCTTGTCTACGTTGACTCTTTATATATTTGATCCTCTCGTTCAGAACACGCGCGATGGTTTCAATCCTCCTCCTCCTCCTCCTCCCAACAGATTCGCGGTAGCAGTAGCCGGAGCTCCAATGGGAAAGGCAGAGGGCTCCTCCTCCGGCGATGGCCGCAACGCGAAGAGCCACCGGATATGCGCCTGGGCGGCCGTTGTCGCCCTGGTCGCCGTCGCCCTCGCAATCGCCGCAGGCTCCAGAAACGCCCCCGAGATCCCTGGCTCCGCCACCGGCAACAAGTCTTGTGAGTGCCTCCCGGTAGGTTTCCTGCTTAAAGGTTTGATTTGGCTTGGTGGGATTTGTTGCCTGGGGGCTGATATCGGTGTGAGACGACGACATCGTAGGGATCCAGGAGCTACACGGGCTTGGTGGAGGACTGCTGCTGCGACTACGAAACGGCGGATTCGCTGAACGAGCAAGTGCTGCATCCGATACTCCAGGAGCTTGTGAAAACTCCCTTTTTCCGTTATTTTAAGGTACTCCGGTGGAATTCGTTCCTTCCTAGTCTTTTTTTTTCTTTCTTAGGCTTCTTTTCTTGTGTGCTTGCATATTTATATATCCAATTGGATCACTTCGAAACCTCGTTAGGATTAATGCCCATGGCAGCAACAAATCTCTCTCTCTCTCTCTAACAGCTTTAAGATGTGGTAGTGAAGTCTACTTTATGAAATGTTAGTGTTGATTTATAAAGAACAAGTGCTAGTGAAATTACATGACAATTTCTATTGCTACTTTATGAGATATTAGTGAAGATTTATAAAGAACACCATCTATTATACTTATTAGAACTAAAACATTATGGACTCTTCATTGTGCTCTCTATTAATAGTAGGGGTTGGAACCTACACGAGCATATATTCCCCTTCTCACTGCGTGACATAGTCTTCCTTGGTCGGTGCTCTAGGTACTCAATTCACATTCCTTGCCAATGTCCTAATGTTTCCTCTAAAAGTTTCCACAGTTTATTGCATGCTATATTTTTATTCTTTCGGTTAAACTCATCTATCTTGACATTCTTTAGTCAGAATAATTATCCAATGTGTTGTTTTCTAAGCTTGCAACGTTTTTGTAGATGGTTTTGTTGCTATCCTCTAAACATTTTGCTTTTTGGTTGAGGGACAGTAGAATGTTTCCAGCCACCAGTAGGCGCAGTTATATATTCAACTGACTTCTCTTGTTTATGAGGCTATTCAGGCTATTCTCTTTGATCTCCCTTCTGTGCTTTCTACTACTTCTTATCCATTTGTATTAGTTGTGTGCCTTCAATTTTCTAATATAGCATTACTATGATTGTATTTAGTACATTTCATGACATTCTTAGTTGTTGTAAACTCCTAAAGCTTTTTGCCTTGTCCTAGAGTTTATTGATTTGATCTCTGATATAGTTATGGACTTTTAAGGCTGATTCTTTTGGTCATTTGTTGAGTAACTATTAATTAATAAATGTCTTTGATTACATCAATATAGTTCAACTGCATAATTTTCTCATTTAATGAACGTACTATTCCTAATTTCAGGAAAAATGTTGCAATGTGCTTTTATAGGTTGCCTAACCAATGTGCAGCTTCCATCATCTTCTTACTTTGCATGCATTGTTTGAATAACACCATGATTTACTTGTTTGTACAAAAATAAATTGGTATCTAGTACAAATTCCATATCTTGATCTGTCCAGTCACTCTGTTATTTCCCATCGTGGCAGATATACTCAATTTTGGACTTGTTTGCACAACCTTTTGTATCTTCTTTTTTCTTATACCAAAATTTATGAGAAAAATTAGGTAGTTGCTTACCATTTAAGAAACTATTGAGTTCATTTTACTGGTTAACAACAGAATTCATGATGTTGTTATTAACTATTTTGATTATTTGAATGAATAAATTATATTCCTATTTATTGAACTTAATCTAAACTTTGGAGGAATTCGTTTTTCAACCAAAGCTCTGCCAAATATTCTGTCTTGACTGATATGCTTTCGTATATTTCCGGTTTCCTGCATCAATCGGTCTATATGTCCACCATTTTCTTGCCTTATGGAAATTCATTGTTATGCTTCTATAGTTATATGTTTCACATGCTTAGAGCTCTTCAAGTTTTTGCAACGTGAATCTTGTTTCTCAGAAACTGTTCTATTGTTGATTTGCTAGGTAAAATTGTGGTGTGATTGCCCATTCTGGCCAGATGATGGGATGTGCCATCTTCGGGATTGTTCTGTCTGTGAGTGTCAAGAAAGCGAGTTTCCAGAGCCGTTTAAGAAATCCTCCGGTGTGCTTTCTGCTGATGATGTGATTTGTCAGGAGGGAAAACCACAAGCTGCTGTGGATAGGACTCTTGATGACAAAATTTTTAATGGGTGGATTGAGATTGACAATCCCTGGACTTATGATGATGAGACTGATAATAGTACCCTCCAGCTCTGATTTACTATTAGATTCATTTTGTGTTTTTCAGTTGCTTTTCTTCCCAATTGTATTTGATTTTGCAAACTAGAAATTTATCGATGCATTTCATTTTCTTGCAGCTGCAATGACATATGTCAATCTCCAACTGAACCCGGAGAGGTACACTGGTTATGCGGGTCCATCAGCTCAAAGGATATGGGCTGCTGTTTACCAGGAAAATTGCCCACAATGTTAGTTATTTTGGTAGTTTATTTCCTTCTTATCCATACTTTTGTAATATTGTATTGTTGTTTTTAACACCATGATTATGAGCATGCTCTGTCTAATTTTTATTACTAGAGTACTCTTTTTCATAATTGTTTCCTGTATCTCCATCCTTGTTAGTTTCTTGGTTATGGGGATAGCAGTAGCACAACTTAATAATTTTATGTATCTGAATAAACTATCAAGAAATAGATCATGCTTTGTACATAACATGAGAATTTATAGTATTTTTCGTCAAACAAGTTTATTGACTGAGTTTGTGGTATTTTTTTCTCACTTCAATCCAAATTTTATCTTGTATGACTGTGACATTGCTTGGTTGGGTACATAATGAAAGAAATCTCGTGTTGGACTACTACTATCTTTGTTATCTTGAACTTTATCTTTTTCAGATCCTTCTGAAGATCTGTGTCATGAAAAGAAGGTGATGTACAAATTGATCTCCGGGCTGCATTCCTCAATTTCAGTTCACATAGCTTCTGATTATCTCCTTGATGCATTTACCAATTTGGTATTTTTTTACTACACACTCCCTTGAGCTACCTGACTTTTTTTTTTATGTGCTTTTCATTAGTGATAATCTCAGGTGTACTTTCTTCTGAATGAATGCAGTGGGGGCAAAACCTGGAGTTGCTTTATGATCGAGTGTGGAAGCACCCAGATCGTGTCAGGAATTTATATTTTGTCTATCTCTTTGTTCTGAGGGCAGTGACAAAGGTAACCCATTCCAATCCCGCTAGTATAGTGGAATTAAATTTTCCATTTGCAGAAAGATAATTAATGTTTATGATATTTCTATATTTCTATCATCCTTAACTTTTATATCAAGTTTTGACCATAAGATTTAGTTTCAGACATGTGAAACATTGCTTAGTGCTTCTCAGACATGATATTATGGTTCATGATCATAATTTAGTCTTCCAGGATATTGGAACAATAAAGAAAGTTTTACTTGAGGTTCCCCTTTTGTCAATATCAATGTATAAGCATGTGAGCTTTCACTCAGTGCCTCAAACTTTATTTTCTTATAAAATTTCCTCCTTGGCCTTAAACAAATAGGATCACAGCGTGTTTAAAGTCTTGACAGCCATGGCCACTATAGAATCTCAGGAGGTTTAGGTCTATGCAGCCTTAGCCTCATGTGCAGTAAAATACTGTTTCCATGACTTGATTTGCTACCACTGTGCCAAGGCTCACTCAGTAGTAGGTGGGATGTGTATGCTGCAAAATAAAAATGGTCTCCTGATGGAAGGAACTAATTTTTCGTGGTGTTGTTATTAGTAAGAAACATAGTCTTGATTTATTATCTCGAATTTTGCTATAGCACTAAATATTTGGGTTATATATGAGGATGTAAATCCTGGTATTGACAATGTTTTATAGCAGTCATGCAATTATAACGCAAACAACCGTCTGCCTTGCCTAACAAAATGCAGAACTTTTTATTTGATTCAATTTGTCATTAAGTAAGATGTTTCTATGCAAGTAACCTTCTGTCTTCCCTAACAATATGCACAAACTTTCAGTTGATTTAATCTATCATCAACAAACTGGGATCCTTGCCCTTCGCTGTGGTAACCGTACTGAATCCTTTTTTCCCTTTGTTTTCCACTGTCCTGTTGCCTCTTCCCAATCCTCTTGATATTTAACCCAAAACGATTTTTGAATATATTAAAGTGGTTCTTCATCTACTTATTTGACATGATATTTTTCATTCCTTATTATATAGATCGTGGATTAATGTGGCATGTCATGCTAGCGGATAACTGACATGGGATTTCATGCCAGTCAGCATGATTTTCTGTGTCAATTCGTGCTTGTTGGAACATATTGTGTGGACATATTTCCAGATTTAGACGTTGCTCCTGGCCTCATAATTGTCGATGACTCTTGCAGGAGTGTTCCCTTGGGAACATTTCATCAAAATGTGGTGCACCTTAAATCATAATACAAGCAAATGGCATATTTCAATGAAATGCAATGTATTTTTTTCTTTAACATCATATAAAATATGTTGAATTAAGCCATTCTAGTATTGGTTTAGCTTTCCTCATGCTGCTAAAATGATTGATGTTCTGACATAGCCTTTAGACTGTCTTTTGGTTTCTGCATCAGACACCCAGTGGACCTGTGTTGAGGATTACTTTGGATCATACGAATTACTTCCTTGCATGAATGAACATGCATACATGTGCTGTTGCCTTGAAAACTGCTTTAATATTTCGAATGTGTATTTCCACGTGCATGTGTTTTGGCTTCATCTGTCTCATGTATAATGTAATGTCTTGGCATGGTTGACCTAAGCTTCGTCTGCTGCCTTTAGTAACATTCTTCTAGTTGATGTGCTTCAGGCTGCAGATTATTTGGAACAGGCCGAGTACAACACTGGCAATCCTATAGAGGATTTGAAAACTCGATCATTGGTGAGACAGCTACTGTACAATCCCAAACTTCTATCTGCTTGCCCGGTACCCTTTGATGAAGCCAAGCTCTGGCAAGGTGAAAATGGGCCCGAGCTGAAGCAGCAGATTCAGAAGCAATTCAGAAACATCAGGTTTGCATTTGGCAACTCGACATGTAACTTATTGGACATGCCTGTTGCACTAACCAAATTTATTTGCATGTTACAGTGCAGTAATGAACTGTGTGGGATGTGAGAAATGCCGGCTGTGGGGAAAACTGCAAGTCAATGGTCTAGCAACAGCTTTAAAAATTCTTTTCTCTGTTGATGGTGAAAACAACCAAAACCAGCCAGTATGTTACTTTCATCATGAATATCCTTCCTGAACTTATTTCATCCATATAAATACTAGGTTTTGCCAAAAAAATGAAACCCACTTTAAGAAGTTGAGAAGTTGGTCATGGTAGTACTGACTGATTATCTGATCTCAACTGTCATGTTGGAAGCTTGAAATAGACTAATAAAATGGAAAACAGAAAGGGAAAGTATCAGAGAAAAACTACGAGATACAGATTTTTCTTGGTCGATTTTTTAGGACAATTTTCCCTTTTCTTTGCTTAAATTGGGAAATGTCTGGAAGTATCTAAAGATTGATTCCTAGATACTTTTCCTGATGCATTTTGATGTGGATTTTCAGCTGCAGCTGCAAAGAAATGAAGTGATCGCACTGTTCAACCTTCTAAATAGACTCTCGGAGTCGATAAAATTCGTTCATGACATGGAACCTCTCATGGAGAAGATGGAAAGGCATGATTCTAACCCCACAGCAACTTCATAGCAAGACAATTCTTTTCCTTTTTTGCATTAATACTCTGGTGAGCCTTCTCCCACCTCCCTTCTTCTTGCAATCGATCTTTATCTCATCATCCTCTCAACAGTTTGCTTTCTTTCTGACTTGCCAGTTTTTGTGCCCCCGGTGAGGCAGAAAAGGCAGACACATAACCCTTTGAAAATACGACATATACCTGATGGTGTTGGAATAAGTAAATCATGTAGTTGAAGGATTTTATGAGAAAGGGAAACATATTTGCTCAATTCAATGCTTCTGTGTGCCATTAAATTATGGTCTTGAGCACAGTGATTTTTGTATCATATAGTTCTTCAAAGATGCTGGCGACTATGCCATTGTTTCCAGATCCATCTTTTAAACAACTGTGACTCCATGGATGGTTCTCATACTGACTTTCCCTTATTAATATTGCTATGACAATATATTTCTTTATATATTTAGATTTTCCACAAGATTCCCTCTCATTAGCATTCATCTAAAAACTTTGATCCATTTCTACTAATTGTTGTTAGTGGTGATTTTTTTATTTAAATTTTAAAGTAATTAAAAATAAAAATATCTAAAATACTCTTTATGTATGTATGTATGTATATGTATATGTATGTATGCATATATATATATATATGTATATATATTTATATATATATATATACATATATGTATATTTATTTATATATATATATACATATATATACATATATACATACATATATATATATATACACACGTGGAAAATGTTCGTGATCATATTAGAAAAGCAAGACAAAGGATAAACGTGATTGACGTGAGTAGGCAGTTGAATTCCTGCATTTGACTGCAGAGGAAGAACGACACCTTAATTGACTGACTGTTCACATAAGTTCCAAATCCAGAATTTGATGCGTGCCACTCGAGTTCTTCATTAATCACATAAGCCCACACTATATATAAATGTGCTCATGTATGCTTCTATTATGCATAAATGTGATCCCTCGCGTTCTTAATTCTTAGATCTATAAAAAAAGAAGGCGAGTGATGAGGGAATTGAATAGACAGACGATTTATCAGCTTTGGTTCATGAATCATCGTGTGACCAAAGTCAAGTAGAACATTTTGTTGGATTTACAGAGATAAACAACTTTGTTCAAGGTTGGATCATTGGCGGTCCACATGGTAATCATTTTCAACTTAAATATTGGAATAAGATATGATGAAGGCATAAAGAAAAAGTTCATTGATAACACACGCAAAAAGTCAGAAAGATAGTTGCGGGAATTTAATGAGACAAGTGAATGGAATCCATCAAAAAATGAAAAGAAATGTGAAGAGAAAGATGAATGATAGTTTAAGCATGTTCTTATGTCAAGCAGCTACTTCCACGTTCATGATCAGAGTCCTTCTTTCTTCCTCGGCATCTGCGTATACATACATGCCGGTCGTCGTCGTCGACCTCAATTCTTACAAGGACCGCAGGTGTGTGTGTTGGGGTCATGGGTGCAACACGAAGGCCCCGACGGCGTCACCGGCCCTTGAGGCAGCGACTGCAGCAAGAGGCCGCCGTGCTCTCGCCACCACCGCCACTCTCCTTGCGTCGGCCTCCCCGCCATCATCGGAGGCTGCAAGCTCGCAACCAGTAGCAGCAACAACACCAGCTGCCTCATCGTCGCCGTGGCCTCTCTCTCTCTCTCTCTCTCTCTCTCTCTCTCTCTCTCTCTCTCTGTATATATAGAAGAGGAAGATCTCTCTCTCTCTCTGATCGTCGTATTCCTCTCGCCACTTCGAAAGCGGGAATTCGTCGCAACGTTGCTGTTGGGATTTAAGAGGGCTTGAAAACACCATAGTCAACCTTCTAACTTTTGCGTTGATTCAATGCGCCGCCGTTGACGGGATCAAAGGATCGGAAGTGGGGAGTTGGTGGGTCGATCTCTCCACCTACCTCGCCGATTGCATCCACGAGTTCACTCGCCCCGGACATCGTAACGCCACGTCGATTGCCTCGGCCGCTATCTCATCTATATCGTTACCTCGTTTTAGCTCTATCGTGTTTCGATTGCATGACAAATACAAGAATATCGAGAATGTAGTGACAGTTTGGGAAGAAGAAGAAGAAGCAGCAGCAGCAGCAGCAAATTTTGCAGACAGAAATACAATCAGACGTTTGATTTCTATCAAAACATGAAAGAAGAAAATCCCAATCTGTTGTTTCTGGAAATTGCTATGTTCAGACATGCTTGCATTAGTTGCATGGAAACTCTGACACTTCCTATGAAATTTTAGTGCATAAAATAAGAATCAGAATAATGCATGATAGAACAGCCTTGGCAGTAAAATGGAAGAACACTGTACCGACTTCGTCTGACGTGATAATGATGATATATATACGTATTTTTCTTCTATATATTTCCTCGTTTGTATAGATTTTAATGCATGAAATCACATACAAAGCGTTCCCTGTGAGAACACCGCGTATGATAACTTGCAATGGTGCGAAGTTCATGGAATTAGGTTTACTCCACGCTTACGTGCAATGATCGTAAACATGGAAATGGATAACGTTCCTGCAAGTAAGTTCGCCATGCAAATGGCTGCATTGTGTTCGTTTCTTCTTCCTTGTCGGAGTAAACAAGTCATGTCATCACCATCCCATGCGTGAGCAATCTAATCTCGCGATGACAAAGACCATTAGTTTCTTTCTTGGCTTTCGCACACATACCTTACGGAGAACAAGGAGAACACAAACGCTCTCACAAGTAGCGATCACACTCCAAAGCATTCAGCATAAAAAGCAATCTCGGTCACACATACATAGATATCACGGGTATGGTAATACATACCTCTCACAGCATACCCTAATCTCGATCGACTTCGAACTCGCCGAGACTGCATATGATACGTATACCTAAGTATAGTTTCATCCGATCAATGATGAGGACAATGAGGACCGCCGCCATGAGCATCCGCTGTGGGGTTGTTGGTGCAGTTCGAAGGAAGGGACGCCTGTGGTGGCTTATGCTTCCGCTGCAGGAGGTCGTTGTTGTGGTGCAGAGGCCTCGCTGCCGCTAAGAGATGCAAGCCTAACATGGCCAGCAGCAGCAGCATGAGAGCTTTGAAGATGGAGGCCATGTCGTGTGAGCAAGTGTCGTATGGGGTTCGTTTGATCGATGGGCGATGATGGAGTTAATTTATAGAAATGGCATTTCCTGTTCTTGATCCTGAAACCTACTGAAACTTTCACACTGGGCTTCCCAAGCAGAGAGATGGCATTTCCTGTTGTTGATCTTGAAACTTACTTGGAACTTTCACACTGGGCTTCCTATGGTGACT